TGGTTCCCATGGAATTTCCTCGGGTCCTTTTTCTTTTTCTCCTTCCTTCCTTCCTTCCTTCCTTCCATTTTTGGTTTAATTTTAAGTAGGCTCCACACCCAGTATGGGGCTTGAACTCATGACCCTGAGATCAAGAGGTGGACCCTCTACCGACTGAGCCATCCAGGTGCCCTGGGTTCTCTTTATTTCTGATCGTATGTTGGAACTTTGTATTTGAAAGATTGTGGGGATAAGTTGAGGCCTGCAGTGAAGATTTGCATTTGCTTCTACCTGAAAGACACTACAAAACCAGGATTTGAACCACATTTTAAAGGTTGGGATTGCTCTATGATTAAAGCTGAGCTTTACTTTCATACAGGCTGTTCCACTTCTGTTCACCTTCATCCTGAGGATGATACATACTGGAGTCTCAATTTATTGTGGGGAGGGTCTCCACTTAGATATCAACTTATATGGGCCTTGGCTTTTGACTTCTGTTCATGTGCTCTTGAAAGACCGTCCAGACCGGATAGGCAGATACCTCCAGGGCAAAAGTGACTGTCTACCCTGCTGGCTAACCTGGCTAGGCACCCATTTCCCTTTGCTTTGGCCTAGTAATTCCATGCTGGTACATCTTTGGTGCTTTTTATATATACATACGCACACATATATACATATACATACACACACATATATGTACACACATGTATATGTATGTATACAGATACATGTACCCATATACATATATATGTATACGTGTGAATATGTACATATATATGTATATATATGTATATGTATATCTGTGTGTGTGTGTGTGTGTGAGTATACATACATATACACACATACTCTCTTGAACAACTTCCCCTGCCAGTATTAGGAATGTGAAGATCTCATGCCTGTCTTGTACTCTAAAGTAGCTTGTAAGGTTGGATTTCATATGTGTTTCTTTTCTTTTCTTCTTTTTTTTTAATGTTTATTTACTTTTGAGAGAGCGACAGAGCGTGTCTGGGGGAGGGGCAGAGAGAGAGGGAGACATAGAATCCAAAGCATGTTCTAGGTTCTGAGCTGTCAGCACAGAGCCCCACATAGGGCTCGAATCCACGAACCCTGAGATCATGACCTGAGCTGAAGTTGGATGTTCAACTGACTGAGCCACCCAGGCGCCACTGTTTGTAAATTCTTACACATTAAAAAAAAATTTTTTTTTAGTGCTTATTTTTGAGAGACAGAGACAGACAGAATGCAAGCAGGGGAGGGGCAGAGAGAGAGAGAGAGACACAGAATCTGAAGCAGGCTCCAGGCTCTGAGCTGTCCATACAGAGCCCGACGTGGGGCTCGAACTCACAGACCGTGAGATCATGACCTGAGCTGAAGTCAGATGCCCAACCAACTGAGCCAGCCGGCTGCCCTCATATGTGTTTCCTGAATATTTGATATTTGACGGCCAATGTCGTTTCTTTAACGTTTATGGAAATATTTAGGCTTTCTGTTTCTTGAATTATTTTTGGCTTTTTCTTTCTGTATATCCATCTAGTCTAAACTTTCTAATTTATCGACTTAAAGTTGTACTTAATTTTATTTTTTTAACGTCCTTGGCATCTTTTCTACTCTTTCTTTCCTGATACTGCTCTCTTGTGTCATTTCTCTCATCCTTTCTTTTTATTTTTTTTTTATTTTTTTTTTCTTTAACGTTTTTATTTATTTATGGGACAGAGAGAGACAGAGCATGAACGGGGGAGGGGCAGAGAGAGAGGGAGACACAGAATCGGAAACAGGCTCCAGGCTCCGAGCCATCAGCCCAGAGCCCGACGCGGGGCTCGAACTC